AGGGTAAGGGTATGGGCTACAGCAAACTAGGTACCTGCCTTGGTCTCAGCAAAGTCTACACCCAGAATAGGTAAGGTCAGGACCACATTCTCACTCTTCCATATTTTCTTTAAATTTTAAACAACTTAACTTTATCTACTTAGTCTTTCTCCCCCCCCCCAACATACACCGTGTGTGTGTGTGTGTGTGTGTGTGTGTGTGTGTGTGTTGTCATGGCATATGTTTAGATATCAAAGGACAACTCTCCTTCCACCACACAGATCCCGGGGATAGAACTCGGCTTGTCAGACTTGATAACAAGTACCTTTACCTGTGAGCCGTCTCACCAGCCTGGCAGTTTTATCGTAGCCTCCCCCCAGACTCCTGAGACACGGTGTATAACAGCTCTAGCTGTCCTGGAACTCGCTTTGTAGACAGGCTGGCCTCAAACTCATAGATCTGTCTGCCTCCCAAGTGCTGGGATTAAAGGCGTTTGCCATCATGCCCAGCTCCTGACAGTTTTCTTAAGTGGAATTTAGAAGGCAGTGAATCTCTAGAACTGCCAGGGCTACATAGAGAAACTCTGTCTCAAAAAACAAAACAAACAAACAAAAAAGAAGTGAAGTTCTCTAGAGCTGGGGTGGGATGGATATATTGCTGGGCACGGCAGGCTGGATGGGGATAACAGCTCTCGGGCCCTCACAGGAGCAGAACATGAACCTGGCAGGCACAGGCTGTGGCCACCCTTGGGGAGGGGCTTTGGAAGGACCTGGCCTGACTGAAGCCTGGGCCCACAGTGCTCTCCGTCTGTGCTGCACTCATTCCTGGGATATTGCTTACAGGTTGTGTACACACTCATCTTCAGGAGGCCTGGGCCAGACCTCAGGGGCAGCTCCGAATCATCCCGGCAGCGTAAGTGGGAAAGTCACCGCCCATATTCCACAGCTCGCTTCTAGCCACTGGCTCCCCACCTCACCTTTACAGCAGCTCCATGGCTTTGCCCTGACTTCCCCTCAGATGATCAGACAATGACAATAAGGCCTCTTTCCTACTGCAGATGACTGGAGAGGCAGACTGACCAGTCTGAGCGGACCCTTGGCATCAGCCAAGCCACAGAGGGCAGTCTTTACACACTTGCTTCTACTCTGAACAGTTCTGACACTGGGGACATTGACAGGATTTTTCCTAAGCTGACATCTAGGGAGGGACAGGAGTATCTCCCCATTTCCTCCCCATCCCAAGCACAGAGCGCTAACATCTCTGGCTTCCTGCTATCAATGTTGTCAGAGCAAGGATTTCTCCTCATGGTAAGAACAGTGCCGATGCCAAAAAGAAAGCTCTCTGCACAGTCTTTTGGCTTAGTTTCTAATAGGTGAAATCATATTAATTTTTAAAAAGATTTATTTCATGTGTACAAATGTTTTGCCTGTATGCACTTATGTGCACTATGTGCATGCAGTACTGAAGGAGGCCAGAAGAGGGCATCAGATTCCATCGGAACTGGCATTACAGATCGTGTGAGTTACATTATGGGTATTTGGGATATGAACCCAGGTTCAGTCAAACGAGGCTGTCCTCCCTGTCTGTGACTCTCATCTCCAGGCCTAGTCTACTGTTTTTCAGCACCTGCTAAAGTAGTAAGACCCTGACAGATTCCAAGAGATACACAAATAAAAGCACGGGTTTGTAGCGGCCATCACAGTCGGGCCCACTTTCCACCTTTGTTCACTGGCCCCTCTGCTGCAGCCAGCAAGAGGGCTCCATCCGTCTCTGGATCTGCATGGTAACCTGAACCACATACCAACTAGCAAGTCTTCACTCATGACACAGATCACAGAGAAATATGAAATGTCATATTCTTCACGGCCACATATCTAATAATCAAGCCTAGGTGCTGAGACCCTCTGTGTCACTGTGTGGCCCTCGTTCCTCTCTGGGACTGCTAGATCCCCTCCCTCTGTCCATACATCCTATTGACAAGCCCTACACACAGCACCAGGGCTGGAAGGTCTTTATCTAAGACTAAACATTTCCACACTCCATCCTGGACAGGGGCCCCAGGACCCTCTCCTATGTCTGTCTGTAGTGTACTGAGCTGGGGCTAGGAGTACTCTCCACCCTTTTCTACTCCAACTGGGACACTGAAGAAAGCATGTGATGTCACTGGGCTTCCTTTAAAAGGGCACATACACACGCACACACACACACCATCACGCAAACACAGCTGACTTCAGAACCGGCTTCTTGCATGTGCATAACCTCAGACTAGGCAGAAGCTTGACCTGGATAGGTCGTCTTGGCAGATGTGACATTGAAGCGGAGGTGTGCAGATGTGGTTTCTTAGGATGGGTTAAACAGATGTGTGAGCAAGACCTGCAAAGTTGCCTCCTCCTCATATTAAAGTATGGCCAGGGAGGTGACTCTGCTCTTCGCAAGTGACAAAGGGCGAGGGCACCGGCTTGGCAATTATGCTTTCGTACTCCTCAGGAAAACGCGCCACGGTTTAGTTCTCCTTGACAGGAATCCCCCTGAAAGCCAGCTCCAGGGAAGCACAGACCCTGTCTCCAGGCCCCGGCAGAACATGTCTGTGGGCATGGACCTGAACACCGACTAGGACAGCATTTTTCTGTGGGCCTACAGAACAGCAGCTCCTCCCATGCCCTAGGAAAGCGAGTCTGAGGAAGGCTGCCAACTTATAGCCCATCTTAGAGCCCTGGATGTCCCTGAAGATGCTAAGCGCTCACACTAAAGGACCACTTGATTTGTCCAACCCACTATTTGTTTGAAGTATTTGGCCAAGAGGTTTGCTCCCTGCCAAATACTGAGAATTTGCAGTAAGTCTGAGGCCCTCTTTCCTCCTGGCCCTGAGCCTCGGCTTCCGCCCAGCACAATGAGGCAGATGGACTGAGTGTCTCCAAGGTCCTCCTACTCTGCTGTTTTTCTAGGCACAGCCAAAGGCTGGCTCCCGTCCCACCTCACTAAAGGTTCTGGACTTGGAGGAACCAGGACGCCAAGGCTGTGGCATGAGTGCTAGGACACCCACCAGGACTCTGGTGCCACCACGTGCAGTTCTTTCTCCATTCTCAGCCACCCCTCCAAGGCTGCAGCACAAGTGAGCATCTCATGGAGGGGTTCCAGAGGAGAGAGAGCAACATGATGAAGGGGTGGCCCACAGAACCCTCCCCACTCCTGGGAACCCGGGTGCTTCAGACTGTAGGATCAGGCAGGTGAGCGTCCCCTTTCTTGATCACACGTCCTAGATATGGAACAGCTGATGCTTACTTAACTGATCAGTGAGGGCCGGGTCTGTTTCTAATCACAGATGCGGTAATCACGCGAGAGTGTGCACGCCTCCTCAGGAAGCCTCCACATTCCAGGAGCGACTCCAAATGAACTGAGTCATCGCTCACACCAGCAGTGCCTTCCTTGGAATTTCACACTTACCTCTCGAGAACCACACATCCCACACCCACAACACCTCGCAGCATATATAGACCCTGACCTGTTAGCAATTATTCTCACTTATCCCCCCTCCCACATGGTCCAAACAACTCCAGCTGCTGATAAATCCCAGGGGCTGCCTACAGTAGCTACTCGCCATCCGTCCAAGCAGTCTTGGGGGGGAGAAGCAGAAGCTTCTGTGGGTTACCCTGTGGGAGTACAAGGATGCCAGGAAGCCCACCCAGTGCATTTCAAAGGTGTGGCCCTAATTTAGCTAATCCATAGGAGCCTCCATCCTCTGGGTCACCAAAGGGACCCGCTAAAGGCTCTGTTGGACATCCTCTCCAACGCAAAGCATCCTGAACGGAGCCACAATGGAGATGGGATTGACAGACCCTTGGGGCAAAGAAGCTCATGCCTACAGTCCTGAAGGACAGCCCCTGTGAGAAAAGGACAGTGCTACCCCGGGAAAGCTTGGCTTCTACTGCAAAACTGGGGAGGAAATGTCCTGCCAGAGCACAGTTCCTCGACCCTCCTAGAAGTCTGGTGCTCTCACCAGCATTCCTCTCCAGGCTATCAAAGAGAGGCAGGCTCAGGATAGGGGACTCTGACTCCCCTGGAGGCATTCGGTCATCTCTAATGGAGTAACCATTGGGAGAAGTTGTAAAAATACTTCTGGCAGTGGTGGTGCACGCCTTTAATCCCAGCACTCGGGAGGCAGAGGCAGGCGGATCTCTGGGAGTTCGAGGCCAGCCTGGTCTACAAGAGCTAGTTCCTGGACAGGCACCAAAGCTACAGAGAAACCCCGTCTCGAAAAACCAAAAAAT